TTTTATTTTTCCATATGAATTTCATGATTGCTTTCTCTATTTCTACAAGAAATGCCGTTGGGATTTTGATTGGCATTGCATTAAACCTATAGAGAACTTTTGGTAATATCGCCATTTTGATGATGTTAGTTCTGCCTATCCATGAACAGGGTATATTTTTCCATCTTCTAAGATCTTCTTCTATTTCTCTCTTTAGGGTTCTGTAGTTTTCATTGTATAAGTCTTTCACCTCTTTTGTTAGGTTGATTCCCAAGTATTTTATTTTTTTTGAAGATATTTTGAATGGAGTGGTTGTCCTCATTTCCATTTCAGAGGATTTGTCGCTGATATACAGGAATGCCTTTGATTTATGCGTGTTGATTTTAAATCCTGCCACTTTGCTGAATTCATTTATTAGCTCTAATAGTTTCTTTGTAGAGCCTTTTGGGTCTGCTAGATATAGAATCATATCATCTGCAAATAGTGATAATTTAATTTCTTCTTTTCCTATTTTTATGCCTTTAATTTCTTTCGTCTGTCTAATTGCTCTGGCCAGTGTTTCGAGAACTATGTTGAAGAGAAGTGGAGAGAGAGGGCATCCCTGTCTTGTTCCAGATTTTATAGGGAATGCCTTCAGTTTCTCTCCATTCAGAATGATGCTAGCCTGAGGCTTAGCATAGATTGCTTTTACAATATTGAGGTATGTTCCTGTTATCCCTAGTTTTTCTAGAGTTTTGAACATAAAGGGATGCTGTACTTTGTCGAATGCTTTTTCCGCATCTATCGAGATGATCATATGGTTCTTATTTTTAAGTCTATTGATGTGGTGAATAACATTTATTGATTTCCGTATATTGAACCAGCCTCAAACAAAGCCTTCTTAAATTCAAGAATCAAATAGACCACAACACAATAATACTGGGTGACTTTAACACATCTCTCTCGCTACTGGATGGATCTTCCAAACAAAAGCTAAACAAACAAACTATAGAAATAAAAAATACAATCAATGATTTAGACTTAACAGACATATATAGAATATTTCATCCATCAATGACTGCATACACTTTCTTCTCAGAAGCACACAAATCCTTCTTTGAATAGACCATGTTATGTAAGCTATCACATATGTTGGCATACAATTGTAATATTACCTTAATATATTTTTAGCATCTGTAGGGTTATTTTGACAGCTCTCTTTCCATTGATATTAATTTTTGTGTTCTTGCTTTTTTCTTCAACAGACTTGATTTTTATCAAATTTTAGCTATATTTTTTCTTCTCTATTTCATATATTTCTGCTCCTACTATTATTTTTCCCCTCCTACTACTTAATTTGAAAATAATTTTCTGTTCTAGCTTCTTTCTGACACAAGCGTTATAAATGTTCATCTGAGTACTGGTTCATCCCAGAGATCCTGGTATCTTAAGCTTTTATTATCACTTCAAAGCACTCTTTATTTACTTTACTTGTACTTTCTTCCTTGACCTCAGAGGTATTTATGAGTGCACTATTTGATTTTGAAATAGTTGATGTGGGGATGGGGTTCTATATAGCTTAAGGTGATTGATTTCTAATGTAATCATGCAGGAAACACAGTCTTCATGATTTCAGATTTTAAAAAAACAATGGAAATGTTTTTTTATATTGGTTATATTGGTTACATACATGTCAAAACTGATCAAATTGCATACTTCAAAAATATGCATTTTATTGTTCTTCAATTTTACCTCAATAAAACTATGGGGGAAAAAAAGATTGGACTTGTAGCTCAGTGGTAGAGCATTTGCCTAGCATGCGTGAGGCCCTGGGTTCAGTCCCCCGTACTGCAAAAAATAAGCACAATCCCATTATGACATCTAAGTAAAAACAATTAATTCCTTAAAATCTTCAAATATCTGGTTATCCAAACAAGGCCCATATCTTTCAAACGGTTGATGTGTTCTTTAATTTTTTAGGTGTGGAAGTGGGGAAGTACTGGGATGGAACTCACTGCATTACATCTCTAGCTCGCCTTAAAAATTAAAAAATTAAAAAACCTGACAAGAAGAACTTAGAAGAGGAAAGGTTTACATGGACAGAGTCGTAGTGCATGGTCAGCCGACTTCACCGCTCAGGTTCCAGGTGAGGCAGCGCATCATGGGGAAGGGCCTAGTGGAGGAAAGCTGCTCATGGTGGCGCAGGAAGTGGGGAGGGAAAAGGGACCACAGGAAGACCAGCCCATCCAGGACGCACCCCCAGGGACCCACCTCCCTCAGCCACACCCCGCCTGCCTATGGTTTTCACATCAGTCCATTTGAACCAGGGTGGATGGATTGGGTTAAAGGTCTCACAATCGAATCATTTCATCTCTGAATATTCCTGCATTAACAGACAGTTTTGGGGGGACACCTCATATCCAAACCCTAACCACCCTCCTGCCTACATGGCCACTTGGCGATCACTCCATGGTGTCCTCAGAAAAACAGGTGAGAATCAAAACAGAAACTTCAAACTGAAGCTCAGGTGGGAAACAATTCAGTCTCAGATAAGACAGGAAATGTGAAAAAAAATATTCAATCCAATTATATCTGAGCAAGCACGACATTTGGGTGAGCAACTTGGGGCAAATATCAGCGAGAGGCCTACCAAACCACAGCCAGCACCCGAAAAATGAACAAGCGCAGAATGCAAGATTCAGGCAGGATCAGTCTGGAACAATGACTCAGAAGACCAGGAGAACATCCCCCCAAGGGCTTGACACCCCACAAAGACCCAAGCAAAGCAGCGTCGTGTAGAGGGGTGATGGATTTAAAGGACCCAGCTAAAAGTGCGGCTTGTAGTGCTATGGGAAAAAATTAAGATCCTCTCCAAACACACACACACACACACACACACAGTTTGTTTGGTTTTTTAAAATTAGAAATTACAAGAAATAAACCTACTAAAAATTGAGTAATTGTCATGGAGGAAAAGCTGAAGGTGACCACTAGAAACATGAAGTAAAAGAATCAGACAGAGGAAAGTATCCAGCAGCCTTTGGGCTGAGAAGGCTGAAGTTACTCCAGTGGAATATAATTTTGCATAAAATTGAAAAGGAAAAAGTTGTCAAAAATGTTCGAAAAGGAACTTTCTCTTTTTATTTTCTTTTGCCCCTAAAAGTAGACTCGAATATGCAGCCAAAAAAGAACACAAGAACCATCATGATACACTGAGAGTGCTCATGGAATCAATCCATCAGTAACTTCCCACACCACTTTATTTATATCTTATGAAATCAATGCCATCATAGGTTGCACCTTAAAATGTAAGTTTTAGTAAGACGAAAGCCACCACGCACAAAGTTAGGACAAGGAAGCTACATTTATACTTTTCCAGGATATCCAGCTAAATCTCCCATATCATGAAACAAAGGACAGACACCCAAATAATACTGGCAAAGAAAATGAACCTGCAAGAGGAGAGGGAATCTAACAGCCGACAAACGAGAGAAACTGAGCCACCTCCTACCTAATCAGGAAAATACAAATGAAAAAAACGTGCACCTCCTCATCCGTCACTTTGACAAAGTCTGGCTGGGCGTGGGGAGGTGGCTCGTCTCATCTGCTGTTAGTAGGAGAATACATTCATATTCAGCCTCTTACAAAGGCAATTTAGCTGAGCCTATAAACGAGTACACATTGATTCCCTTTGCCTCAATGATTCCACATTTTTGGGTTTTGATACAATTATGTAGAATTCCAACATAAAGTATATAATCATTATCACAGCCTCTTAGAAAAGTGAACAATTGAAATAACCTAAATGTCCATCAGAAGGGGATGGTTTAAATATTATGGTACCTAGGGCTGGGGATGTGGCTCAAGTGGTAGCGCGCTCTCCTGGCATGCGTGCGGCCCGGGTTCGATCCTCAGCACCACATACAAACACAGATGTTGTGTCCGCCGAAAAAGCAAAAAATAAATATTAAAATTCTCTCTCTCTCTCTCTTTAAAAAAAAAAATATTATGGTACCTATATCAATCTCGTGGAATAGCATTAAGCTGCTTTAAAAAAACAAAGTTCATGTACATGTTTTAAGGTGAAAAGATCTCTAAGATTTCCACTTTTAAAATAAGTGGCAATATAAAATGCTGAAAAAATGTACAGTATCATCTCATTTATTATAAAATGCATTTATGATAACAAGTTATATAGACAAATGCACAGGAAAGAGAAGACGTGACCAGACTTCTCACAGACCTGGGACTGGAAGCTGAAAGTGAGTGAGAAGGGAATTTTTTCCCATTGTATACTTCTATGCTGTTTGAAATTTTATGAGCAAGGTTGTATAGTGTATTCCTTTTGTAGACATAAAAAACATTAAGTCTTGTTATTTTTGAGCCCACTACAGAGGAAAAGATAGAATTTCTATTGTTTTTCTTGTCAGAGGTAGGACCTACCCAGAAACAGAAAACTAAAGTGAAAATAAAACTCGGCCTGCACTAGCTTTTCTCCTCATGGGCCCTATCTCTCTTTTTTTTCCTTTGATCAGGATAAACAGAGAAAGAGCTCAGACCCCGTCAGCACAGGGACAGCCCCGGATCTGACAAAGCTGGTCCCCTGCAGGTGCTGGACCATAGCACCCCAGGCTCGCTGGCTTGAAAAGATGCCAGATGTTTACCCTGGAGCTTGTGTTGCCCCACCTACCCTCTTTGAAGTGACCTGTGAAAGGTGGAGGGAGGTGGGGGAGGACTGGGAGCATTCAGAGGTCATGGGAAATGGCCAATCCCTGCTGGGAGGGACAGAGTCCCCGCCACTGAGAAGCAACTGCAAAACAAGAAACTCGTGAGTTCCTGTGCTTCGTGGTGAGCTGCACTCACATCGACAGCCGTCCTGCTCCTTTAAAAAAATCCCTCTTCCTCTTTCTTAGCTCTTACTTCATCTAGTGCAGACCTTGCTCCCATGGAGCAGGACTGAGCCACAGTACCGCCTTAGACCCCGGCTGAACTCAAGCAGCACACGGCCAGAGACAGAAGTCCAAGGGAGAAGAGAGACTCACCTGGTGCTCGGGTCGCCAGCCCCGTCTGCCATCCTCCTGCCCTGGACCTGCCTGGGTCTGGGAGGGTGACCCCTTGTCCCTCAGTGTCCCCCGCCTGTGTCCAGTGTGGCTGCCCGACCCTGAGCAGGAAGTGGGCCCTTGGATTGACTCACCAAATAGCGCTCCGCCCCGTTGGGGAAAAGAGAAGTGAAAGTATTTGTTCGACCTCTGATGAGCCACTGCCAAGCTAGTCCTCCCTCCTCCCTCGGCCCACGGGCTCCCAGCTCTCCTGAAGTGTAGCAGGAGGATGAAGGCCTGCAGGGCAGGGAAGGGGACCCCAGGGACAAGCAGGGCCACTCCCAGGTGTCCCCTCTGTCTGTCTCTAGATGATAGTCCTTATCAATTGTGTCCCCTTCATGACTAAGCACGCCTGTGCCTGTGCCTGTGCCTGTGCCCGTGGCTGTTCCTTACAACCAGAGACTTAGTGAGTCCCAGCGTGTCTACGGCAGATGCTTCTTCCAGGAGGGAAAGCTGGAAACTTCTCTCGGGCCAATGGGGGAGACTGGACTAAACGCAGGAAGGTCCTGACGTTCAGACCAGAGCTGGAGAGAGCTGACGTGCTCAGCCTTACAAAGGAGGCAGAATACTCTTCGCATTCCTAGACATCAGTCAGAGGCAGGGGAGGTCTCTCCAAGCCCCTGGGGGCCACATGCTGAGCCAGGTTAGGGCTAAGGCTGACATTTTAGATGCAAGGGTATAAGGTGCCTTGACCGTGAGCTGCTACACATCAGCAAGGGCTGAGGAAGAGACGCTGTGTATCAAAGAAGTCACTGGACCTCTCAGTGGAGGAGGATGGAGGAAGGAGCCCAGGTGGTCTAGAAGTGAAAGGGCAGGGGGACCCAATGGGGGGATCTCTGCCTCCCAGTTATGCTTGTTTGGCTGGGGCACGGTCAGGGATGCAGCCAGCAGCCAGGGTGTGCAGACTCCAGGGCCAGGAGGGGATGGGCAAAGGGCAGAGGACTCAGGGGCTGGAAGTGGCCAGAGCTCGAAAGTGATAGTTTCATACCATGGTCCACCGAACCCGACTCCTTCTGGTGGTGAGCAAGGGTGCTTGACACTGTGGGGGGAGGACGGAGGTTCCTACCGTTGATCCACTTTTCTTTCCCCAGAAGAGTGAGCACCAAACTGATGGGGCGGATTCCAGGCACTGATGAGGACATCTTTTCCAGTGGGCAGGGCCACTGTGCCTACAGGTACATACTCGTGCCGACAGGTACAGACACCGCCACCCCACATGCGCTTTCTCTCTGGGGCAGAGGGGCTGGTAAGCTGAGCCTCATTGGGCGCAGGTGTCCTCTGTCCGGTCTCTAGGGGGCAGGGTGGGCCACACGAGCCCTGGCACAGACTTCACCCTCCTGTCCTGGCGAATCCCCCGGCCATCCCCGTGTAGTAGGCTGGCCAGAGCCAGTGCAGAGCTGGGCGCTGATGTGAACATGCCAGGCCTTCTCTGTGTCTGCTCGAGATCCAGGAGCCTGGAAGCCAGGGAGCAGGAGAGCAGCAATTGAGGAGGACCCAGGGCAGGGGAGTGACAGAGAGATGGCTTTGGGAGCTTCACCAAGAAGAGCTGGGACCTCCGAAACAGGGGATGGGAGGGTGATTCCCCAGCCTGGACACCCCTTGGGGACAAGAGATCTATCTCTGAGACAAGGAGTCAGCATCCCAGCCTGGAGTTTGAGGGCAGGATGCAACCCCAGCAGCTGTGGCCACTGGGACACAAGTTTGGAGAGTCTGGCCTCCCTCCTGTGGGTGGGCACATGGAGAGTGAGTGCGGGGGCCTCCCGAGTCTCCTGCTGGGAGGCAGCTCATGGATCAGCACGACACACCTGCCCCCTCCCTTCTTCTGGGGCAGATTCTTTGACTAGAGCTTGGTGGGTGGGAGTGTCCCCTTGTCGAGCCTCTCCATAGCCATCCACCTGCAGAGACTGGGGCTCTATTAACACCCCCAAGCTGGGTGCACAAGGACAGGGTCCAGCGTGGGGCTAGGGCCATGTGGTTGACTGGAGCAGCTTGAGACCGTGTAGATAAGTCCAATTCTGAGATTCGATTTGGGGAATCACTTTATTACCACACACCTAAGAACGTCCCCAATTCCACTTTCATCAGGAATGAAGGAGGTTTGTTGACCTCCTTTTTGCCCATCTCTCAATTGGGTTAGAACTCAGGTGGGGGGAAAGTATGGCATGTGGGGGGCCTCCTGCCCCTAAATATGTTTAGCCCATGGTCTGTGTCTCTCCCCCCAGTTCTCTCCTACCTGAGCCCCACATGGGTGAAGAGTCTGAGGATCAGAACCCCTTGCAACTATGTCACCATGATGCAATTATCCCCCTGGCTTAGTGGGTACTCGGCGGCTTTTAAAGACTGTGGTAAGACTGAGCCTCACTCCTTCCCCACCCTGCCCTTTGCTTGACAGAACTTCAGCGATGGGCTAAGGGGTGTAGAGCTTTGGTCACTCCAACCCGCAAAGTTTGCAAGATGCAAGAGGGATGATTAGAGGTGGAAAGGATTATTTCTATGGAAGAAGAGAATGTATGGGGAAGGGATGGATAGGAAGAGAGAGAGACCATTGCAGAAGAGGAATGGGTTGAGGGTGAGGGGTTCTGAGGAGTGAAGAAGGGAAGGGAAGCACTGGAGAATGTGGGAGGTCCATCTGGCCACCTTCTGAAGGTCTGGGGTCCAGCCACGAGAAACACCTCCACAGAAGCCCTCAGTCCTTGTGCGGCATAAGGGAGGAGGTTGGCCCAGCCACATCTCCAGTCCCCACCTGCGATCTGCATCATCACCCGCGGCCCTTCAGTTTATCCTCTGTTGTAGCCACAAGTGAACAAGGACCGCTGTATCCTGTTCCCTGATTACTGGTGGCAGAACCAGGATCCCCAGAGTCCAGTGACACTACTCTTGCTTCTTTCCTATGGTCCCCAGGCAGCAAGGGTGGGCACAGACTGACCATGTGCAGCAGAGTCCCTCTCCCATCAGCCCACAGCCCACCTTACTCCTGGACTTGGCTCCAGCCAAGTCTACACTTCCCTCTAGTGGCCTAACCCAGTATTACAGTCTCCTTACACCTAGGTTCTTTTGTCCTTTGTTGGAAACAGAAATCAAGAATCTTTCTCTTTTCAAAAACAACCCAAATGCCTTGATATTTGTAGTAGAAGCTCTGTTATTTCATTCTAAATAAAGGTGAACCAACTAAGAGATTGAGTTCGGGAAGTTTTAATATTTGACAGTTCATGAGCATATCTGGGCTTGTGGTCTAGCAGAGACCTCCTGATTCAAATCCCGAGGGAGGTGCTGCCATCTGGGCCATCCATCCTTGAGGGAGACCTCTGTCTTCCCAGAAAGCTGAATCCCACCTGGGAGCACCAGGGTGGCCCTTCCTTCTCCACCTCCCTGGAGGCTGAAGCCCTCAAACCTGCCCACCTCCCTCCCCTGAGGCCCCCGCAGCATAATCCTGAGGTCCTTTCCAAACATGTAGATCTTGTCATTTAAAATGTGTTTAAAACATTCAATAAGCTACAAAAACAGATGGTGCAGAATGAGCTTTTAAAGGAAGGCCTGAGAGGTTCTAGGAGTGGGTTACGCTGAGAAGTTCAGGAAATGCCTTGCCCAGTCCTGCCTCAAGCACCCTGGTCTCCCTTGGGGTGGCCCTCACCTTCCTCTACCATTCAGTGTCCTCTGACTCCTGAAGGGACGGAAGCAAAACGTCTTAGCTTCACCCAACTCTTGCTAACTTAGGGTCCTACTTCTCTGACTGAAAAACAGCAACCTGCTTCAGAGTTCATAATTTTTTATATCCTGGGGATTCCCCGGGGCAGCTTGCTGTGGTCGTGGGCACCAGTGAACACTCACGGCCAACACTCGGAGATCTGGATCAGGATGGCTCCGTGCTGTAACACCCGACAAGAAGGAACTAGGGCTGCTCTCAGAGAGGGGGAGAAACACTTCATCCTAGTTAGGGTCAAACTGGCGCCTCTTGGGGAGCCTCAGGGGTCTATTGAGCTGGATGCCCCAGAAGCAGAGGAAACAGCATGGCTGCCGGAACTGGAGGAGGAGGCAGTTGGGTTGCACAGCCACTTGAATAAAAGTGAAGCCTTTGACAAAACGGCCATTGCTAATGTTTCTGCAAATCCCTCCAAACGTCCATTACTAAGAGTGGTGAGCCAGAATGACCTCTGGACTTATCGGATCCTGGGGGAGCCAGGTGAGGCGTGCGTGGTCAGAGATGGCCTCCACCAAGCACACGGAAGGAGACCACTGGTAGCTGCCTTCCACTTGTTCCAGCTCGTAAGTGGGTGCTTTTATTCAAGTGGGTGGCATGTGGTAGGGACCTCAGTGTTGCTGAACAGAATAAAAGATGTGGTGGAGAAGGGAAGGGTAGCTTCATGAAGACTTAGTGGTTAGGGGACAGGAAATGAACTGTCCTAAGGAGACTCGATCACGGAAGAGGATCAACCCAACTGTCCCTGCATAGAGGACTTGGCATCCTAAGAATATTCATCCTAAGTGTATTTCTAATCAGCGCTGATGTATACCTGCTGTCAGCATCTAGGGGAGATGTACGGGGAAGAGACGGAGGTGGCCTTACCCACGGAAGCACTTGCTAGAAAATGTGGTGGGCAGGAGCTGGCCAAGTTGGAATACCTGGGAACCGGTGTCCAGGGTCACAAAAATTCCACAGAGTATAGATTTGCACAGAGCATAAATTGGCCTTTATATCCGACCAACCATCAAAGTTCTGGTTTAGGGAAACTCCAAAATAAAGCATAACGAGCTCTCCCGAAGGCCACAGAGGTCTCTAAACTACTGTACTGTTCCCCTGCCTGGTGCACGTGCTTCTCACAGGTACAACACTGCACTTGTGAAGCAGGTGGGCACCCAAAAGGGCCCCAGCACAGGCCAACCACTGGGTCTAGACAGGTCATGAAGTGGACCTGGGAACACAGGAGGGTGGCCCAAGGGCTCTAGCAGGTCATTGGTGCCCTGCTGTGCTGAGCATCCTTGTCTCACATGGCAACTAGGCTTATCAGGTAAAGGCAGGCTCCAAAGCCAACAGGTGGAAGAGCTCCTCGGGAGCAGGTGGCCTCCAGGGTCTGCTGGTACTGTGGCTTTGGGGGGAAATGCTTGGCACAGTTGTGTTAGTTCTCAAAACAACGACATTCAAGTTGCAAACTCACCCATCTCACTTGCTACACACCCATTTTCTTGGAGTACTAAGGAAAAAAACAGTAAGTTCTCTGTCATCACGTGCCAGTTCTCAACCTCTAACCAGCTCAGGATGGCTGGTGGGCTCAGTTTACTTGGTGACTTGCTTCCTCCAGAGAGAATGGAGACCCGTCTGCCCTTTCCCACACATACCGCCTATGGCCTGTGGCTCCCTCTCCTGTGGATAAATCTGGGAGGTTTTGAGCCCGTTGAATGTGGGGTCACGGTAAATGAGCGGCCCATGTGTATCCAAGGACTCGGGGTTGAGTATGACGACAATATGATATCCCTGAACGTTGCCTACAAGAACCAAGTATTGGGAGTTGGGTTCTTACCACTGAGCTGTTTTGGCAGGAGGGGCCTGGATTTACCATTTATTGTTCAGACAATGTACAATGCAGGAACCCAAGGACTATTTCTTGTCTTTCCTGAATAAACACAAAGTAAATAAAGACAACCAGTTGGAATCTACAGAACTCAGGCCACACGTCTACATGCTACCTACATGTGCCTCAGGCTCGGTCTCATTCTCACAGACCCAGAGAGGATGAATCTAGAACACACAGACCTTGTCTGAAGCAGTGTACACTCTTCCAGTCCCATATACCATGAGGTTCAGGGCAAAATGTGAATGAAGAGATCAGGAGAGAAATTTCTAATTTTGATGCAATATAGAAACAGGTGGTTTCGTGTCAGATGAAACATTGTAGACCAGAGAATCTGAACGTGCCTGTTATTGAAAGGTCTGGCAGCTCTGATTAGTTCATTGTTCTGTAGCCCCCAACCCCTCCCACCCCACCCCCCGTGTCCCATCAGCATCTACACTGACTGGATGGGTAGCTAATTGCCATCTCTTGCTTGAACCAAAACAGGAACTCTATTTTAGCAGGTGATTCTGGTGGTTAGGCTCAAACTACACTCTTGGTCTGTAGTAGAAAAAGCTCAGCCCCAGATCTGACAGATTTCAGTTTGCCACAGGTATCAGCCACAGACTAGGGAAGGGTTTACACACACATTTTCTATGACCCTCTCTTTTTGGACATTTTCCCCTCACTTCCCAGAAAGCCTGGTTACTCTGGGCTCTTCCCCTGGCTCTTCCAAGCAGAAAGAAGAGCTTCCTAACAAAGTTTTAGGCCACCAAGCAAGAGTGTGGCTGTTCTTAGAGGAAGAGGAAGTGGATTCACTACAGGCTGCTTCCTTCGAGTTTCGACTTCCCCCCAAAGTTTCGATTTCTCCCCAAAGCCCGCCTGCTTGTGTTCACCTTTCAGAAGCCTCAGGCAGCTGGTTTTTGAGTAGTGTCCAGAGTTTCTAGCTAGTTTGGAACTTTGGAGGGGAAATCCTAGCATGCTTCAAATCCTTGAGTCCCTAAAACTTACCTACATGTCATGTCTCTGAGTCTTGGTAAGGTTTACCTCTCACACCCACAGTACCTGTGATTTACCCAAGGCATTCAGAATACTCAATACTTCTTGCTCATCAGATCCATGACCACACTGTGATCCGTACAGTGGGCCAATGTAGTGTGTTCCAGCAGCCAGAGGAGCTCTACTGTTACAGAAAGCAGGAGAATTTCTTTGCCCTAGTACAAGTATACTGTTGTCTGACCCACGTAACTGTTGTGTCCTGATGACACATTCAGGAGCTGGGAAAATGACTGCCGACTGGATTCAGTACACCCATTCTGAGATGGACATTACCTGACACCCATACACTCTAACAAGGGGGCCAGGATGGCTCTGTGTCCCCAGATATTTGCATCAACTCCAACCCTGTGTTCAACAACTCTTGAAATATCTGTGTGTTTTTCTTTCCCTGACATGTGGTTATTTGAACAAATGGCCATAGATCCCTTTGGGGAAGAACTGAGGGAATCCTACTACTTACCCTCTCAAGGTTCTTTCTTCTGAAAACTTGCCCTCACTTTTATTGGAAATGATCCTCATGAGAACTGGCTAAACTGAGGTAGCTATCTATCATCTTGTGCTCCTCTATTTCAAATCACTTTTGATGATGTATATGAAGTAATATCCTCATTGGCTGAGGAACACAGTCACTTCCCGGATGAGTCTTTCCATTGTAGAGCAGGGTCACGCTAGCATGTCAATGTCCCTCGGCTTTTGTTCCCCAGAGCCTGCCACAGCAGTTTGGGCATCTCTACCTTCCACTTCATTTAATATGTACCACAGTTATTCTAAGCCTGAAATAGCCACCTGGGGCATACAGAATCACTACCATCATCCCCTGCCAGGTTGATTAAAGTCTGTGGCACAGAAGAGCTCTCCTGTATCAACAATTCCCCCTTATTTAGTTTTACATCTTACCTTTCTTGATCCAGGATCTACTACCAATCTCCTAGCTCCTGTTGGTAATGTTGGCCAACCTCCATCTCCTTTGAAATATAAACCCTCTTTCAACTTGCAGCCCCACCCATAGTTTGTCCAGTTGGGTCATGCAGAGAGGCCTCTGCATGCTTAAAGTCTTCATTTAAGCAAGATGGGGATGGGTGTAGTTCCCTCTTCCAACAAGGGGAAGGGGGATTCTTTTTCATGACAAGTGGTTCAGAGGGTATAGTGGTTCAAAATTCTCATGTGCATCTACCTTGATAGCCCCATTTTGAGTTTCAGGGCCTTGAATTTGGCATAGAGACCACCTGAGCTTGGAATCCAGTCCTTTTTGGAGTTCTGCCATTCTTAAAACCAGGACCTGAAACAGGCCTGAACTTCCTGTCTGCTTTCCAGATGCAAACATAAGGGCCTCTTGGCTTTAGGTTGGCGATTAATAGATCTAAACCTGATATTTATGCTTATCAATATATTAGCAATAGCCACCAAACCCAACATTTCTTATAGTTACCTTTTCTCCCTTCTTAAATGCCAAATTGCACCAGCTAGTGTGCCTCTTTTCCTGTAGCTCATCTGGCTTTCTACAGTAGAAAGTCTGGCAACTGTCCTGTTATAACATCCCAGGGACTACCAATATCTACCTATCACGGGGCTGGGGGTGTGGCTCAAGCAGTAGCGCGCTCGCCTGGCATGCGTGCGGCCCGGGTTCGATCCTCAGCACCAGACACAAAAAAACAAAGATGTTGTGTCCGCCGAAAACTAAAAAAGAAATATTAATAAATACTCTCTCTCTCTTAAAAAAAAGTTAAAAAATATTCACCTATCACCATTCTGCGAGACAGTGATCCACCTCCAGGATCATGTTCTTAAGAGTTTGTTTTCTAGGACCACTACTTAGGGTGGGTCCCTGCTGTGGTTTGGATCTGGAATGTCCCGAAAAGTGCATGCTTTGAAGGCTTGGCCCACAATGAAGCAATGTTCAGAGGGAATCACTTTGGAGAAGTGACTGGATCGCGAGGGCTCTGATCTCATCAGAGGATTGATTAGTCAGTCGGTAACTGAATGGACTGCTGAGAGTGGGGGCAATTGCAGGCAGCAGAGTCTGTTGGAGGAAGCAGGTCCTGGGGGTATGGCTTAGAAGGCTATTCCTTGTTCCTGGCCCTGTTCTCTTTCCTCCTTCTCTCTCTGCTTCTGAGTTGCCACAAGCTGAGCAGCCTTCCTCGGCCATGTTCTTCCATCATGATGTTCTGCCTCACCTCAGGCCTGGAGCAGTGGAGTCCGCTGACCATAAACAGAAACCTCTGAAACTGCAACCAAAAGAAATCTCTCCTCCTCTAAGTTGTTTTTCTCAGGCATTTGTCACAATGATCAAGAAAAAAAAAAATTAACACAGTCCCCTAGAAGCAGAGTCTGAGATGAAGTATCTTAAGGTATTGGTTTATTGTGAAGCTCTCTCAGAAGAGGAGCGAGGGAAGCAACATAACAAAGCGAGAAAGGTGAGGTCAGCTGGAAACTAGTTTCAGCCTGGTTCCGTGGGATCAGTAGCCACGGTGTCCCTGGTTCTACCTTAAGGCAAGGGAACCAGCTCTCAGGCTGGGAGGTGCCACCCCGGCTGAAGCTGGCTTTCTTTGGTACAGGGATGCTAGACTTAGTAAACGGTGTTCACTGCAGCAGAGGGTGGGAGATCTTGCCAGAAAAATAAATTGCACCAGAACACCAAGAGCAGTTACTGCACCAGTCAACTATTTTCATTTGTTTCCTGAATAGTGAACAGTCCCTTCAAATTCTTCTCGAATTCAGTCTCCAGTCTAATTCCCATTTGGCCACACTCACGGTACTGGAAAAAAAATAATAAAGACAAAAATGAAAACCTCATTTTCCGTGTTGTTAGACATCTGGCCATTGAGAATGATCAGGACACTTGTTAAACATTCTGAGGCACACTAACCAGTTCAAACTTGAAAACTCATATAGCTAGGAGCAACTTCTGTGTTCTGCTAGCATAATTAGAAAGAAATGTGAAATCATTGCCATGTTGGGGGACCATTACTTATTTGACTTTGGTTGTTCATTAGAGTTCAGTAAGAGTTAGAAAACTGATCTATGTTAATAGAAGTCATGTGTGAGGGGAGATCAATGATCTCTTCCTTCCTCATCACTTCTATTCCTCTATTGGGGAGTCCCTGTTAACTATATGGTCCTTGAACATATATAGGAGCCTTGAGTTTGGGATTTCTGAGAAGTTTTAAGGAAGCTTGGGGGAAGATAAGAAGCACAAACTGACTTGAATATAAATTCTCTTTCTGGGCTGGGGTTGTGGCTCAGTGATAGAGTGCACGCCTAGCACGTTCAGGACCATGGGTTCGATCCTCAGCACCACATAAAAATAATAAATTAAAATAAAGATATTCTGTTCAATTACAACTAAAAAATAAATATAAAAAATAAATAAATTCTCTTTCTGTGTGTATGGGAAAGGGAGGACTTGACTGTTCTCTCTGTGCTCTTGTCGGAGGGATGGCAAATGAGCGCTTGAGAGCATGGGGCTTTCTTTGGTTACAGGGACATCTTCTGATTCACTGTTAGCTAAGTCTTAAACTAAAAGAATCACTCATTTCCAGAGCCTTGCTTGTGCAGGCTTGTTAGAGGAAGACAAGGGAAACTAAACTTCCCAGGTGCCAGAAAATGAGGGGTAGAAGCAGCCAATGGGAGAAAACAGAAAGGGAAGCAAGAGTGCGTTCCTTACCTTGTATGAGGCCCTGTGGTTCTGAAAGATGAGGCGTATGTCCTGCACAAACCCCTTCACTTGGGAGTAACCCTGTTTATTCAGCCTTTTCTTGATTTTGTCTAACCACATAGGTTCCTTCAGACTTTGACAAGTCTCCCTCATCTGCTGACAAATACACCAAGTTACTTAAGTCTTAAACTGGAAGAATCTGTGAGAGCTACTAGCACAGTTTAGTGTTTGACCTGCTATGGATTCTCATAAAATCCAATAGAGAGACAAACAATGTAAAGACAACGGGCTGCTGTCCCACTCCCAGGGACTGAGATCACAGATCCCATTTCAGAGTCCCCTCGTAGCCTGGTGGCCTGTGACCGAGGCTCTCTGCTGTTACTTACACGATAATAGCGTGGATTCTTGGCAAAAATGGAGCTCTCAGAACAGCAATAGACCTTCAAGAGGAGGAACTCACATTTCTACAAGAGAAGTAGGCTGTCAATGAAAAGCAGCTTGAAAAGAAGAAACCCATATGCTCACCCCACAGAAATGAGCATGACTCATGCCCCCCAGCTTCAGGAAGATTCTCCAAACATGTGTAATGGCCAAGTTATTCTTTCTGTAAACATGTTCTGGTGTGATATCAGCATAACAGAAGTGTGGATCGGAAGAGAAAGCTCCCTCTGAGATCCACTTCTCTGACCCCAGGCCTGTTGGTGTTTCTCACAAGAGAAGGGAAATGAGAAGGCTTGGGGATTCCACGGACTTACCAACTGTTCCTCGGGCTGCATCTGCCTCTCTAGGATCTCAGACTCCTGATGACTCTCTTGACTGTCTAAGGAGCCCATCCTGCAGAAAATGCAACTCCACGGGATCCTGAGAGATTGTGCATAAAGTGAGCAGAGAACATGGCCCCTGGAAATAGCTACTGTTCCTATAGCTGCATGTCCTCCTTTAAGGAATAGCTGATACGCTAGTTAGAGAGCACACTCCCAGAGAGTGCAAGATCCCCACATGGGATCTTGAGCTGTCCACTCTGTTTCCATCTGTGGCAGAAACAGGATGTCAGTCGTTGGAAAGAGTGTCATATTGACTATTAGGATCTCCTTTCCCCCACTGGGAATACAAGGAGCCCTGCCGACGAGGCTCAAGTATAAGAAACGGGGCTTTAACTCCTGGTGATCTTGGGTCCATCAGCCCATTAAAGCGTAATGAAAAGTGGGAACCAGTTGTGTTTATTTCTTTCCTGACTAAGCACAGAAGAAAAAAAAAACCTGTCATTTCCCATTTCCAATCCATGGACATAAGTCCCTGCTGCAAAACTTTGAAGAAAGGACAATTATAGTATGTAGGCTAAGGACCCCAGTCACCAGTCTCTGCATCCCCAAAGAGGTATCGCTGGTGGCACAGAGAGTATTGATATTGCAGCATCTTTCAATAGCCCTCTGAATCATGCTGCTAGATCCTGGTCGCTAAGATCTCTGCTCACTCCCCATCGAGACCCAAGAGGAACACTGCAGGGCAAGTGTGCATGGCAGGGGGAAGGACTCCTAGCAGGAGAGAGAGAAGGAATCACATCTCACTCCTCAATCTTTGCTGGTGGAATGTGACAGTCCCTATGGAAGGCTCTGGAGCAAGTGTCACAGCAGAACAGCAGTCCCCTACGCCGACACACCTCACACACTTCCGAGTTTCCCATCTAGAAGAGAAAACAACAACCACGTCACTGGGATTGGCAAGACCCTGCGCAAAGCCACTGCTATGGGAACCCAGAACACAAGCCTCTGGGCAAACTTGCATGGACCCATTTGCTTCTCCCTGGGATAGTAAGTGCTTGGAGTGGAGAGTTCAGACAAGACATCTTCTGTTAAAGTTCAGGAAGAGGAGACCACGTGCCATACCAGAAAACATTTCCTCTCAAAACCAGAGATATAACACAGAAAGACCAACAGCAAAACAACGTGATGATTTTGAGGGAATCAGAATAATTTTATTACTAGCCTGCAGACAAAAGTTCCTAAAATAAATGTTGAATCCATTTGCTTATACAACATTGCTGAAATTGGCTCATCAAAGTGTGATTTACTAAAGGTTTATATATGAGGGAATAAACTTTTGAAATATCACTGCATCCCATAGCCTTGGCTGTAAGCTCCCCATGAGCTGAAGGAAAGGCCTGGGGAGGCTTTGGGCTGTGGGTTCTGACTATGGAAAGTAATCAAAGATGAAAAGGTGCTGACTAATAATCCTTTTTAGGTTTGTTTTGAGCTTTGGGATGAAAACACTTGTTAGGTGAATTGGGATCTTGGTCATTTATTTGATCTTAAAAATGGTCATATATGAGAAAATACTGGGCCCCTAAGGCTCCTGCTTGATGTCATGGGGGATTCTTATGCAGATCTGCAATTGGAGACTGAAACTGCTCAGACACGGAGCCTTGGACCCATTCTTCTCGTTAGTGCAGACTCATGGATTACCAGCATCACTGTCAAGAAATTGATGCCTCCTCTCCCCAAACAACAAGGAAATAATGGAGGCAACAAGTGTTTCAGAATCTTGCAATCATAATCCTTTTAACAAGATATTTGATTCCTTGACAGTCCATGGGAATCCTCAGTGGAGAGTACATAAACTACCAACGTCCTGGTCCCAACACCAGAGACCAAGTCATGTGGTCTGGGTTGGGGCATCAGCATTACTGTTCCTCTTTAAGTCATAGAACAAGTATTTCTGTGCAGCAGAATCATTTGAAGCCTTTGAACAAGTCCTAGTCCAAACTAGTTCAGAATCAGAATTTCCTCTGGGGGCGGGATCCAGGCAACAATGCTTTTTACACCTTTTCAGGTGATTCTGGTGTCAAATTTGAGATTCAGCCTGAGACAAGTCTGGTTATTGAGGCCTGGAGATGTATATGTCAGGGTTGTTCGGCCTTAATATCTATCCCAGGAAACATTAACAGGGGAGAGGATACCTTTGCTTGGGTATGACCTAATCCTATGTCTACATCTATCCCCAACAAGCCACACAAATACTGGACTCCAGGGCTGTTTTGACTATTGAAGACGCCCTCTGTAGAACAAGGTAAAAACCAGTGTGAATAAGATCTAAATCTGGTTGGAGAATTGCTGTGGAGGTGTGTGTAAAACTACTTTGCTATGCCTCTTCTGCTGAGTGTCATGAATGGAAGACACTCTTTGCAAGTATTGACCCACAACTGAGGGAAACGCTAACATGGCCTAAAATCTGCATCTCATTGCCATGAAAGGAATCTAGATATGATTTAGCACAAAGAGAGGAGTCATCCATGATTTCAGCAGACCCCAAAGCAGGAAGCCATATGGCAAACAGGGCCCATGGAATCAGAATGCTTTGTACATTATTAAGCACCAGCCAAACAGTTTGAATAAACTATGATTTGCTAAGTGGTGATGGTTTCAGTGTTAGCCAGCTCAGCCTCCTAATGGCTCCCTTGAGACTGGCTACAGTCTTTCTTTCCCTCCCTCCCTCCCTCCCTCCCTCCCTTCCTTCCTTCCTTCCTTCCTTCCTTCCTTCCTTTTCTTTTTGGTACTAGGGATTGAATCCAAGGGCACTTAACCACTAAGCCATCCCCAGCCCTGTTTTCTGTTTTATTTAGAGACAAGGTCTCACTGAGTTGCTTAGGGCATCACTAAGTTGCTGAGGCTGGCTTTGAACTCACAAACCTCCTGCCTCAGCCTCCTGAGCCACTGGCACTACAGGTGGGCACCACTGGGCTGGGTGTTCTGTGTGCATTTCTATGCAGGACTAAGAACTATGTAAGACTAAGGATGTTAGTACTTACATCAGGTTCAACATTGTTGTGAGTCTGTGGTGTTGTCTGTTGAAAGAAAAATATTCAGTGGCTACATTGCATGTGATGTTTGAATCTATCACTTATTTAAACAATCATGTTTCAAGGGATTCAAGTAACAGTTATTTTAAAAATAAATTAATTAGGAAGTCAGTGGGTTGGGTTGGCTTCAGGACTTTAAGTTTCCACAGCTTGAACTCGCCAGTTGGGCCCAGCCTGTCCCCTCAGGGTGGTGCTGAAGACCATCTTGAGCTCCGCCTGCATCTGGGTGGACGTCACATATTTTCCTTACCACCCTTTCCATCCCCACTGACTTCTTTAAAGTGCTGTTTTCCTCTCAAATTTGCTGTACACCCCTCATCTTCAGGCCATTCCTGACCATCCCTACCTTCAATTCTGCCTCTAGATCTCTGCTTCCCATACCCACTTGGAGGGGAGACGAGGCACGGGAAGTTTTCCACTGAAATATAAGGAAAGGGTACTTTCAGTGGAGACACCCAGTCTCAGACCCATGTCCCTGTCTTGGGGGACACACCTGATATTCTTTGTTCATTGCACACAGCAACATACTACAGGAGTGAGTGCACTTCAGGGAAAAGCAGTCATGACACAGGAAATGTGCTTGGAAAAAGGTCTGCGGTCTGGGGATGCAGCTGGGAGTTAGTACTTACATCTGGGGCAACATTGTTGTGAGTCTGTGGTGTTGTCTGTTGAAAGAAAAATATTCGGTGACTACGTCGCATGAGATATTTGAATTTATCACTTATTTAAACAATCATGGTTCAAGAGATTCAAGTAACAGTCATTTAAAAAATAAATTAATTAGGAAGTCAGTGGGTTAGGTTGGCTTAGGACTTTAAGTTTCCACATAAAAATGTAAACAGTAAGGAAAAACTAGTGACTTTAGCAATTAAAAAAAAAAACTACCAGCTAATCTTTAACCAGGGTCTTTCCATTCTAACCAATTAAACGTATCTTCTCTGTCTTACTTCCACCTTAGCCCATGAAAGTCGCCTGCTCACACTGGTGCATCGGAGCTCAGTGGTGTTCTTACCTGAGTGCTGCCCAACTCACGACCCCTTCATTGCTCAAATAAGCTCATCAAATTTATTTTGTCTATAAAGATTTTTCTCTCAACACAATAGGCCTTTTATTTCATACCTTTTTATGTTGACCTATGTATCTATGAGGAGAACAAAAAGTGCCAAAGAGCTCTGTGTGCCAATGCACATTCCCTTCCCCAGCTCTTCGATTCAAAGTGGGCCTTCGTGTTGCCAAGAAAGGACCCAGGACCTAGTTTCCACAGACTGAATTGGAGAAATTTTACCTGTCCTGTTGCTTCAAGGGGTTCCCAGCCATTTTCCTTCAACTTGGCTGCCCAGGATCTGCCAGCCCACCCACAGGAGCTGCAGCGAGAATCAGTCTGAGGACTTAGCAGTCACAGCCCTCAATAACCACAGGGCTATTCTGGAATATTCCTGGAATCCAAGGAAGCCCACAGAGAACTCTCCTACTTTCTGAAGCTCTCCTAGGGATTATCCCTAAAGATAAAATATATAAAAAGTCCCCAGGACTGAAGTTCTTCTCCCTGAATGTCCCCCTCCTTGCTCCTCTATCCAAATCCCAAGAAGATGTCAGCTGGCTGACTGAATTTTCAGAGAAAATTCTAGATTTGTTTACATTGCCTTTAAACATCCAGTACAACGAGCTGGCATTCTTCCCTTTGGAGATATGTGCAAACTCAACTCTTACCTCTATCCCAGGATGGAGAGACCATAGACAAGTGGGACCTCAGGGACAATACCCTCAGAGGTGGCCATGTCACTGCCCACCTTTGACCAGCTTATTATTATTCCATTTTTACAATGAATTGACACAATCCTTAAGGTCAGGAATACAGTTTCAATCTTCTCTAGTGACCACTGGACACTTAGGATGTGTTCATTAATTATGTGTCATGTACTGGAAAGTTTTCACCTGGTGCTAATGGTGACACTGAAGTTTTCAGGAGCCAAGTGGCTCTGAAAGCAAGGGACACTCCAAGAGGCCCTGAAGACCTATGGAAGTAGAAATGGATCCTGGGATCTGCCACTTTGGAGAGCATCTGCTCTCACCAACAAGGAGACACAATATATAGAGGCAACTGCAGCTTGTAAGCCAAGAATTACACTCATGATAGGGAAGATTCTGTTGGTTGGAAATTTCCAGCTCATTCTCATAATGTGGTCTGAGTTACTCTTGACACCTTGGGAAAGTTAGAGCCACTTGTCTTTAAAGCACTCACCAAGTAGGCAAAAAGTAGTTTCTTTTTAGGAAACCCACTGGATGAAATATTCCAGGGGCTGAGAGTTCAAACCAGTGAGACCACTGATATTGCAAAGGCTGAGATCTCAAATTCTAACATGAAGTCCAGAGGTCAGTGATGTGACCTGTCTTAGAAGTCTGTGAATGTCTTGAGTGGCTCTTTCTACCTACAGTATATAAGAAGGGCACTTCTCCCCTTCGCCTCCTCTTTCTCAGGTTATCATTCATACTCAGTGTTGGAAAAACTGTTGCCTTGCCCTGATTCTACACCACACTCAACCTATTTGTTTGTTGCCTTCTTTCATAGAAGGACAAACCGCTTCTCACAAATAAAAGTTTGCATGCACAATCCTTCTGATGGAGCAAAAGTGGTGGTGTCCAGTTCAGCACATCTTGTATAGATGTACCTACCTTCCAAGACCTCCCTCTCCAACAACACTGTCCTTATTTATGAAAAGCAAATAATTTTCCCTTGAGAAAGATTTCTATGTGGTCCGGGTCCTGCTGAGGGCCGGTCAGGACTCACCCGTTGCTTGGGTTGCCCGGCAAGGGGAACGAAATGCTGCCATTCGCATAGGATACCAACATGGCAGAGATCTGATGTCAGCAGAAAGCGGTGGAGGAGAGATCTTCATCAATACCAGCGGTGACATAAGCAGTTGGTCTCCTGGTAAGGGGGGTGAGGCTCAGTCACCCGAGTCTCCTCAATTTGTCCTCGAGCCAGAGGGAAGGAGCCGGGCCGCCGCCAGCCCCCGGAGCAGGCCCAGCGGCTCGCCAGCGTGGTGACCGTGTGACCCCAATTGGAGAGGGGGCGGAGCGGAGCCGCCACCCACACCCGCCAGGTGGGCAGACCCACGAACCAGTAGTACATGGGCGTGGTAGGAGGGGCAGGGCAGAGCCGCCCTTCGCGCTTGCAAGGTAAACAGACCAGTGACAGCCTGGCAGGTCAGGCCCAGTGGCCTGCCAGTGTGGTACACACGTCACCCCAACTGGAGTAGGGGCAGAGCAGATCCTTCTCCCACGCCCGGATCAGGCCCTGCCGGTGTGGTGGTCACGTGACCCCAATTGGAGTGGAGGCGGAGCAGAACCGCCAACCGTGCCCGCAGGGTGAGCAGACCAGTGATCAACCTGCAGATCAAGCCCAGGGGTCCGCAGGCGTGGTAGGAGGGGCAGGGCAGATCCGCCGCCCGCGCCTCCAAGGTAGGCAGACCTACAACAGACCGGCGGATCAGGCCCAGGAGCCTGCCGGCGTGGTACAAACACCACCCTAATTGGAGTAGTGACAGAGCAGAGTCGCCTCCCTTGCCAGGAACAGGCCCAGCGTCCTGCAGGCGGGGTAGTCACGACACCCCAATTGGAGTAGGGGCAGAGCAGAGCCGCCGCCAGCTCCCAGAACAGGCCCAGTGACCTGACGGCGTGGTAGCCACGACACCCCAATTGGAATAAGGAGAGAGCAGAGCCGCCGCCCGCGCCTGCAGGAAAGATACGCAAGCAGTATGAAAAGACAAGGAAAGAAAGGACCACAAGCAATGCAGGTCAACGCAACTTTAGAAGAGGTAACAGCTGCAGCAGATGGAATGTCAGATAAAGAATTCAGGATGTACATGCTTCAGATGATCTGGAGTATCAAGGAAGACATTAAACAGCAAAATCAGACAATGAAAGATCACTTTGACAACGAATTACGCAAACAAATCCAGGAAGCAAAGGATCAACTATACAGGGAGATAGACGTTATAAAAAACAAGCAATCAGAAATCCTAGAAATGCAGGAAGCAATAAACCAACTTAAAAACTCAATGGAGAATACTACCAGCAGAGTAGAACACTTAGAAGATAGAACATCAGACAATGAAGACAAAGTATTTCAACTGGAAAAGAACATAGACAGCTCAGCAAGACTGTTAAGAAACCATGAGCAGAACATCCAAGAAATATGGGATAACATTAAGAGACCAAACTTAAGAGTCATTGGGATACAGGAAGGTACAGAGCTCCAAACCAAAGGAATGAGCAGTCTATTCAATGAAATAATACAAGAAAACTTCCCAGACTTGAAGAATGAGACAGAATCCCAAATCCTAGAAGCCTACAGGACGCCGAATGTGCAAAATCATAAGAGATCCACACCTAGACACATTATAATGAAGATGCCCAACATACAGAATAAGGAGAGAATTTTAAAAGCTACAAGAGAAAGGAAGCAGATTACATTTAGGGGTAAGCCAATCAGGATAACAGCTGATCTTTCAACACAGACTCTGAAAGCTAGAAGATCCTGGAATAACATATTTCAAACACTGAAAGAAAATGGGTTCCAACCAAGAATTGTGTATCCAGCGAAATTAAGCTTCAGGATGGAGGATGAAATTAAAACCTTCCACGATAAACAAAAGTTTAAAGAATTCGCAGCTAGAAAACCATCTCTTCAAAACATCCTCGCCAAAGCATTACAGGAAGAGGAAATGGAAAATAACAGTGAAAACCAACAGTGGGAGGTAGGACAGTAAAGGGGGGGGGAAATAATCAAAGAGGAAAACAAACAATGTTTAGTAACAGAAATAAACAAATATGGCTGGAAGAACAACCCATATCTCAATAATAACCCTAAATGTTAATGGCTTAAACTCACCAATTAAGAGACACAGGCTAGTAGAATGGATCACAAAACAAGACCCAACAATATGCTGCCTACAGGAGACGCATTTGATAGGAAAAGACATACATAGGCTGAAGGTGAAAGGTTGGGAAAAATCATATCACTCATATGGACTTCGGAAACAAGCAGGCGTGTCCATACTCATATCAAATAAAATAGATTTCAAGCCAAAGTTAATCAAAAGAGATAAAGAGGGACACTACATACTGCTTAAGGGAACCATACACCAACAAGACATAACAATCATAAATATTTATGCCCCAAACAATGGTGCAGCTATGTTCGTCAAACAAACTCTTCTCAAGTTCAAGAGTCTAATAGACCACCACACCATAATCATGGGAGACTTCAACACACCTCTCTCGCCACTGGACAGATCTTCCAAACAAAAGTTGAATAAGGAAACTATAGAACTCAATAACACTATTAATAACCTAGACCTAATTGTCATATATAGAGTATACCACCCAACATCAAGCAGTTACACTTTTTTCTCAGCAGCACATGGATCCTTCTCAAAAATAGATCATATATTATGTCACAGGGAAACTCTTAGACAATATAAAGGAGTAGAGATAATACCATGCATCTTATCTGATCATAATGGAATGAAACTGAAAATCAACGATAAAAGAAGGAAGGAAAAAGCATACATCAATTGGAGAATGAACAATAGGTTACTGAATGATCAATGGGTTATAGAAGACATCAAGGAGGAAATTAAAAAATTCTTAGAGATAAATGAAAACACAGACACAACATATCGGAATCTATGGGACACATTGAAAGCAGTTCTAAGAGGAAAATTCATTGCTTGGAGTTCATTCCTTAAAAAAAGAAAAAACCAACAAATAAATGATCTCATACTTCATCTCAAAATCCTTGAAAAAGAAGAGCAAAACAACAGCAAAAGAAGTAGAAGGCAAGAAATAATTAAAATCAGAGCTGAAATTAATGAAATCGAAACAAAAGAAACAATTGAAAAAATTGACAAAACTAAAAGTTGGTTCTTTGAAAAAATAAACAAAATCGACAGACCCTTAGCGATGCTAGCGAAGAGAAGAAGAGAGAGAACTCAAATTACTAGCATACTGGAGGAAAAAGGCAATATCACAACAGACACTTCAGAAATACAGAAGATAATCAAAAACTATTTTGAATCCTTATACTCCAATAAATTAGAAGATAGTGAAGGCATAGATAAATTTCTTAAGTCATATGATCTGCCCAGATTGAGTCAGGAGGATATAGAAAACCTAAACAGACCAATATCAATTGAGGAAATAGAAGAAACCATAAAAAGACTACCAACTAAGAAAAGCCCAGGTCCGGATGGGTATACAGCAGAATTTTACAAAACCTTTAAAGAAGAACTAATACCAATACTTTTCAAGCTACTTCAGGAAATAGAAAAGGAGGGAGAACTTCCAAATTCATTCTATGAGGCCAACATCACCCTGATACCTAAACCAGACAAAGACACTTCAAAGAAAGAAAACTACAGACCAATATCTCTAATGAACCTAGATGCAAAAATCCTCAGTAAAATTCTGGCGAATCGGATACAAAAACATATCAAAAAAATTGTACACCATGATCAAGTAGGATTCATCCCTGGGATGCAAGGCTGGTTCAATATACGGAAATCAATAAATGTTATTCACCACATCAATAGACTTAAAAATAAGAACCATATGATCATCTCGATAGATGCGGAAAAAGCATTCGACAAAGTACAGCATCCCTTTATGTTCAAAACTCTAGAAAAACTAGGGATAACAGGAACATACCTCAATATTGTAAAAGCAATCTATGCTAAGCCTCAGGCTAGCATCATTCTGAATGGAGAAAAACTGAAGGCATTCCCTCTAAAATCTGGAACAAGACAGGGATGCCCTCTCTCTCCACTTCTCTTCAACATAGTTCTCGAAACACTGGCCAGAGCAATTAGACAGACGAAAGAAATTAAAGGCATAAAAATAGGAAAAGAAGAACTTAAATTATCACTATTTGCAGATGATATGATTCTATACCTAGCAGACCAAAAGGCTCTACAAAGAAACTATTAGAGCTAGTAAATGAATTCAGCAAAGTGGCAGGATATAAAATCAACACGCATAAATCAAAGGCATTCCTGTATATCAGCGACAAATCCTCTGAAATGGAAATGAGGACAACCACTCCATTCAAAATATCTTCAAAAAAAATAAAATACTTGGGAATCAACCTAACAAAAGAGGTGAAAGACTTATACAATGAAAACTACAGAACCCTAAAGAGAGAAATAGAAGAAGATCTTAGAAGATGGAAAAATATACCCTGTTCATGGATAGGCAGAACTAACATCATCAAAATGGCGATATTACCAAAAGTTCTCTATAGGTTTAATGCAATGCCAATCAAAATCCCAACGGCATTTCTTGTAGAAATAGAGAAAGCAATCATGAAATTCATATGGAAAAATAAAAGACCCAGAATAGCAAAAACAATGCTAAGCAAGAAGTGTGAATCAGGCGGTATAGCGATACCAGACTTCAAACTATACTACAGAGCAATAGTAACAAAAACAGCATAGTACTGGTACCAAAACAGGCGGGTGGACCAATGGTACAGAATAGAGGACACAGAAACCAATCCACAAAACTACAACTATCTTATATTTGATAAAGGGGCTAAAAGCATGCAATGGAGGAAGGATAGCATCTTCAACAAATGGTGCTGGGAAAACTGGAAATCCATATGCAACAAAATGAAACTGAATCCCTTTCTCTCGCCATGCACAAAAGTGAATTCAAAATGGATCAAGGAGCTTGATATCAAATCAGAGACGCGCCGTCTGATAGAAGAAAAAGTTGGCTACGATCTACAGTTGGTGGGGTCGGGCTCCAAATTCCTCAATAGGACACCCATAGCACAAAAGTTAATAACTAGAATCAACAAATGGGACTTACTCAAACTAAAAAGTTTTTTCTCAGCAAAAGAAACAATAAGAGAGGTAAATAGGGAGCCTACACCCTGGGAACAAATCTTTACTCCTCACACTTCAGATAGAGCCCTAATATCCAGAGTATACAAAGAACTCAAAAAATTAGACAATAAGAGAACAAACAACCCAATCAACAAATGGGCCAAGGACCTGAACAGACACTTCTCAGAGGAGGACATACAGTCAATCAACAAGTACATGAAAAAATGCTCAACATCTCTAGCTGTCAGAGAAATGCAAATCAAAACCACCCTAAGATACCATCTCACTCCAGTAAGATTGGCAGCCATTAGGAAGTCAAACAACAACAAGTGCTGTCGAGGATGTGGGGAAAAGGGTACACTTGTACATTGCTGGTGGGACTGCAGATTGGTGCAGCCAATTTGGAAAGCAGTATGGAGATTTCTTGGAAAGCTGGGAATGGAGCCACCATTTGACCCAGCTATTCCCCTTCTTGGTCTATTCCCTAAAGACCTAAAAAGAGCATGCTACAGGGACACTGCTACATCGATGTTCATAGCAGCACAGTTCACAATAGCAAGACTGTGGAACCAACCTAGATGCCCTTCAATAGACGAATGGATAAAAAAATGTGGCATTTATACACAATGGAGTATTACTCTGCATTAAAAAATGACAAAATCATAGAATTTACAGGGAAATGGATGGCATTAGAGCAGATTATGCTAAGTGAAGCTAGCCAATCCCTAAAAAACAAATGCCAAATGTCTTCTTTGATATAAGGAGAGTAACTAAGAACAGAGTAGGGACGAAGAGCAGGAGAAGAAGATTAACATTTAACAGGGATGAGAGGTGGGAGGGAAAGGGAGAGAGAAGGGAAACTGCACGGTAATGGAAGGAGACCCTCGGGGTTATACAGTGGAGGGGGTAGAGAGAGAGGAGGGGAGGGGAGGGGAGAGGTGGGGAGGGGGGAGGGTGGAGGATGGGAAAGGCAGCGGAGCACAACAGACACTAGTATGGCAATTTGTAAATCAATGGATGTGTAACTGATGTGATTCTGCAATCTGTGTATGGGGTGAAGGTGGGAGTTCATAACCCACTTGAATCAAAGTGTGGAATATGATATGTCAAGAAATTTGTAATGTTTTGAACAACCCACAATAAAAAATTAAAAAAAAAAAAAGATTTCTATGTGGCTCTACTCTGCCCCTACTCCAAATGGGGTGACGTGTCTGTCGTACCGGCAGGCCACTGGGCCTGTCCCGCTGGTCGGTCGCAGATCTGCCCACCTTTTGGGCACGGGTGGAGGCTCTGCTCTGCCCCTACTCCAATTGGGGTGTCGTGACTACCCCGCCTGCAGGACGCTGGGCCTGTTCCTGGCACGGGCGGTGACTCTGCTCTGTCACTACTCCAATTAGGGTGGTGTTTGTACCACGCCGGCAGGCTCCTGGGCCTGATCCGCCGGTCTGTTGTAGGTCTGCCTACCTTGGAGGCGCGGGCGGCGGATCTGCCCTGCCCCTCCTACCACGCCTGCGGACCCCTGGGCCTGATCTGCAGGTTGGTCACAGGTCTGCTCACCCTGCAGGCACGGGTGGCGGTTCCGCTCCGCCCCCACTCCAATTGGGGTCACGTGACCACCACACCGGCAGGGCCTGATCCGGGCGTGGGAGAAGGATCTGCTCTGCCCCTACTCCAGTTGGGGTGACGTGTGTACCACACTGGCAGGCCACTGGGCCTGACCAGCCAGGCTGTCACTGGTCTGTTTACCTTGCAAGCGCGAAGGGCTGCTCTGCCCTGCCCCTCCTACCACGCCCATGTACCACTGGGTCGTGGGTCTGCCCACCTTGCGGGTGCAGGTGGCGGCTCCGCTCCGCCCCCTCTCCAATTGGGGTCATGCGGTCACCACGCTGGCGAGCCGCTGGGCCTGCTCCGGGCGCTGGCGGTGGCCCGGCTCCTCCCCTCTGGCTCGAGGACAAATTGAGGAGACTCGGGTGACTGAGCCTCACCCCCCTTACCAGGAGACCAACTGCTTATGTCACCGCTGGTATTGATGAAGTTCTCTCCTCCGCAGCTTTCTGATGACATCAGATCTCTGCCATGTTGGTATCCTATGCGAATGGCAGCATTTCGTTCCCCTTGCCGGGCAACCAAAGCAACGGGTGAGTCCTGACCGGCCCTCAGCAGGACCCGGACCGAGACGCAGTTTCCGCAGGCTCCTAGCCCCGGTCCAGGGAAGTTCCAGGAGCCGGAACTCGGCCGCTCCGTGCTCGGTGTAAGCTCCTATAAGTGTAAGCTCCAAGAAGCAGTCCCCGCGGGCTCAGTTCCGGGAGCCGGAATTCGGCTGCTTAGTGCTTGGTGTATGCTCTGATAGTAGCAGGGTCCAAGAAGCAGCCTTCGCAGGCTCCGCAGCCCTGGGCCAGGGCGGTTCCGGGCCGCCCCGCGCTCGGTGTTCGCTCTGATAAGATCAGATTCTAAGAAGCACCCAGGCGCTGAACCCTAGCAATCTGTCTGCAAGCCGCAGGCGAATTGCAGCCTGAAATTACCTGTTCTATGGCTGAATGAGCTGCGGTCAGTCGAAAACAGGGAAGGTGACGTCAGTTTACCAACATGGTGGCTGCTGGCCTCCTCTGTGGTCTGACCGGTGTGGAGAACCGAGATGGACCGCTTCCTTCCCCCGTCTCGAACCCAGAATTCAGCCCTGAGTACGGTGCTTGCGCAGCTGGCAGAAACTGCAGCGCTGTAACCCTGCGTCTCTATCCCAGCGCGCGCTGCAGACTCTAGCCGCGGGGCGATTTGCTGAATAAGCAGTGTTACCCTCCGTGCGACAAACCTCTCGCGTTTGAGTCCCCGTAGCCGATCCTCGTGCGATGGAAATCCTTCCTCCAGGTTCCGGAGCACCCCACTATTGCTGGAAATTCCTAACAAGATATCCTTTAGCCGTCCTGACTTGTCATACACCCACACAGTGAAGCAGCACACGGGGGCAATGCACTCCCCTCGCTGCCATCTTCCTCCAGGACCCTATGTATATATTTAGTTGGAAATTGGAAGAGGATGTGAAGGACCAGAAAAGGAATATGCTTTTGGTTGTATTACTCATAAAATGATATGTAATTTCACATAGGTCCCATGAAAAACTATTAGTTCAAGCTCATCAAAATGACTGTGAGCAGAAGAAATAGCTCAGTTGGTAGCATGCTTGCCTCACATGCACAAGGCCCTGAGTTCAACCCCCAGCACTATAAAACAAAACTGACTATGAGCAAACTTTCGCTCCATCAAATTTTATTAAAACTAGAGAAACTCTTGGCTTGAGTTGAAGATGACTCTATCACATGATTATGAGATGTTTTTATGTATTCCACAATTATGTTTGCCTTTTCAACTTTGATGCCCTTAAAACAATTACAGTATTGCTAACACACTTCCATGAGGTCTATTTTGATGGCTCTCTATCATCTCCACTTCTCATGGATTAACAAAGAAGACCTAGCTTTATATACAGCATTGTACTCAAAAGTCACAACTCTGAAGGTGCATGTCCCCCCCATCCAAAATGAAAGAAAGAAAAAATAAAGGAAGGGGTGGAGGAGGTGTAAGATTAGTTATGATTACCCACTTGAGATGCCATAAATAAGACACTGTACAAGTAAAGTCATATGTGGTGAGAACTTGTAGAAAGTTATATAATGATCACCTTTTTTTTCCTGTGATATATTCTTGGAGGATGAGGTAGAAATCCTTCCTGCAAGATAAAAAGATTCAATATATGGTTACTCTGGGTTTCTGTTTTGTGAGCCTGCATAGCCAACCTCCTCCCAAATATTTCTGCCTGCATGCTCCACTGCCAGTTGAGATTCAAGGTGTCTGAATGAGAATCTTTCTTTTCTCACTTGCCTCTTCCAGATTTCAACAAATGGTAGTTGGAAAGTCACCTGTAGAACCTTCTCCCTTTCTCTTGTCCTCTTTTCTAAGTCTCTGAGAGGCTTTCCTCAGACAGCCTTTACCTATTTCCATTCCCACAGGACGCTCAAGTTTGAATTCCTACACTAGGACTCTCCAGGCAACACACAATTATTGCCCAATATCTATTGGAACCTCTAATAGATATTGGGCATGCAAAGAAGACACATGTATAACTCTGGAGAGGTCTAGAGAAGAAAAACAAACTCAAGGAAGTACAAATCTAAAATAACTGGAGAGGAATCTTAGTGGTGGGCTCAGAGAGCCCTGGGAAGGGATGATGAGGGGCTGGGACATTTAGGGAGGGGTGACACATTTTAACTGAGCATTCTGTGTTTGATATAGATTGCTGAGTGCAGAGACAGGGAAGCTGTTTCAAAGCAACATGGCTATCTAACACACTGTTTTAGGGGACTGAGGTGTAGCCCAAAGGTAGAGTGCATGCTTAGCATGCACGAGGCCCTGGGCTCAACCCCAGCACCCAAAATAAGACAAAATTGTTTTAAATGTTATTTCCAACAACAAAGATTTTGCCGATTCTATGTTGACTAAATTATGAATTAGAACCAATTAGCCTAGTATTAGAACCCTCCACAAATGATCCCCAAAATATGTCTTATTGCATACAACTCATCAATCTAAATCCACAGTGCTATTTCAGTAATGCCTTTCTCTGGAGTGTCTTCTTGCATTGTTTGACTGTAGGCTTTTTTTTTTTTTTAAACGCAGAAAGTTTCTGCATTTACTCTAATTGGAATGGCCACCCCCCTCTAAGGTTCTGCATCTACCCTTTGCAACATTCATGTGCTGTACTGTCCTGGAGTTACAAATGTGGGACCCCTGGCTTTGAGTCAAAGGAAAAGTGCAGAGGCATCAGGGCTGTATCTATAACTCACAAACATTTGATGATGAAATAGTGACCTAATTATTAAGATGCAACAAGAGGGGTACATCTCTTGCCCTTTGTGAACAGAATACCTGCAGCAGCCATAGCAGGGGCCGCCCGCCACAGTACACACTCTGTTTCCAGTACTTCGATCTTGCGTAGCCTCCTTTGATTTCAAATTCACGAGGTGTGAGCCAGTCTCCAGTCTCACTCTGTATACACTTTATGGAGATTCCTGTAAGACCAGAGAAAGTTGATCCCTATTTATGTTTGTCCCTAAAGCTTAGACTACAGCCTCCCACCATCCAAATTGGGCTCATGGTCAATAGCAGAAGTCCCACCTCTCAGATTTCAGGGGACCCAAATCCAGCCTGAAAGTTCCCTGAAAGGAGATTTCTGGCAGGGTGTGTACATTTCTTTGATCTTCGCATGAAGACAGTAACAATTACCATGAAAAGCAAGCTTTTAAAAATATCTAGGAATCACCTACAAGAGGAAAAGCAAGCAATTCCTAAGAATGAGAGGATTTCAATTTGTTGTCGGGTTCTAGAGATAGAGAACATTGATTTGTATGCTCTAAATAGTGAACTGAATTCTATGTGAATGATATTTCAGTAAAGTTGTTTTAAAAATTAACACCCAAAGACCCATATTAAGAGAGGTCTGAGCAGTGTAACTCCACATCATATACAATCGCAAGGATGGAGGTTATACTCCGTGTGGTAGGATTCGTCAAAATACGTTCTACTGTCATGTATAACTAAAAAGGACAAATTTAAAAAAATTTTAAAAGGAGAGGTCTGAGATGAAGTCCATCATCATGAACTATTTTTGAAAGGCCTTAGAAACTATGGTCATAAAATACGTTGTGTCGATTCTACTCATTAATTCTTACAGCAATACTAGGGTGCAGGTTTTTAAAATCATTTTCCCCTTTCGTAGATAAAAAATTTCAGGCTCAGCAAGACCTCCTTCTCTCATGAGAATGAAACAGGGGCTGTGGATATAGCTCAGCTGGTAGAGTGCTTCAGCCTTGCATGCACAAGGCCCTGGGTTCGATCCCCAGAGCCGCTGAAACAGGAACTCAGGTTTCCTGATCCAAACCTAAATCCTGTGATCTCACCAGGTTAAGCATCCCGCCCTGTGATGAAGATCCAGCAGGGGAGAGGGTATAAAGGTAGAGGCTGAGGTCTATCTCTAGCTATAAGTAAGATATTTTATTTCCCACCTCTGGATGGGATTTCCTGCACTTATCTTTGGTTCTTTGGGTATTACTATGGACAAGCCCACGTGAGAGCATCTAATATCTGTGATTTCTCAGTGTAAAAGTATCATCTTAAGAATTCCTTCCTCCTTCTCTCAAGTCAAACTAGAGACTCAGCTCCTTGAATGTTGAGTGATTCACATGACTGATTCCCTTCCTTCCTGGGAATCCTTCAGATAGTAGTCACAAATTAAAGAAGACAGTGAAACCCACCTTTTTTCAATTTCTCCTTATATAAAATTCCTTTCAGCTCACCACAGCTCACAGGAAGTAATGGAGCACAAAAATCCACAGGTTCATTTCTGACCTTTCTTGAACCTGCAAGAGAAGGGTCTTATCCCAGTTCACTTTCCAATTGCACATGCCCCCCTCCTCCCATATTGAGGTCATTCCTGTAACGGCAGGAGGTACTTAAGGAAATTCAGCCCCACAAATCTCAAGAGTTAACATCTTTTTCCAAGTGGTATTTTGGATAGATAATAATGAAATGTCTCCCTTGATTTCACACAAACTGAAATGCTTTAGCAGAGAAACCAGGCTTCAATAAAACTGTTTTGATTCTCAATCTAGTGAGCTCCACCGATTCTTACATGAGCATAAAATATACAGTTACTGTCACTGTTCTGGTGAGGTCTCCAGCATTGCAGTTTTGCCACAGGTGGGAGCCAGAGACAGAGCCAGGGATGGTCGTCCCACTTCCCCATTTGAGCACTGACCAGGCAAGCAGAGGGAGGAGGAGGATGGAGATGGTGTCTGCTTCCTATTGCTCTCTGCTTTACTTATACTTCATTTTCCCCTTTCTCTATAGGTTAGGAGGGAGCTCAGGGAGTTATAGAATGATTTGAAAATTATAGAGGGGAGGGAAATGGAGACCTGACTCCACAGAAGTGGGGAAGAAAAGTCTTGAAACAAATTCCGGGTGGATGAAGAGCTAATCTAGCTTCTGACCAATGTGGCAGAGGCATGATGGAGGGAGGGAGCGGTGTTTGGTCCTAAGACTGAATCTGGGACAGGTAGATGTCCAATCAGGACTGGAAGGTTCTGTGAAGGATGGCTGGCCCAATTTCCCCTTTCAATTAACAGATGAGAAAACTGAGGCAAAAGACGTCAAATATCATGCCTAAGTGCTCACAGTCAAAGGACAAGAAAACCCTAGGACAAGTCCTCTGACCACCACGTTGGCCACCTTGGTGTGCAGTCACAGACTGTTCCCTTGATATGGCCTGACTGTTTGCACCCTTGAACGTTATCTGTTCAATGAAGGCAGCACTGCAGTAGCCCTGGGCCCCTGGAGTCTGGTTTCAGACATGGCATAGAGTTTCTCATTTTTCTCCCAAATACATTGACTAAATGGGACACATTTCTCAGTAGTTACCATTGCTACATGAAGTCATGAAGCAACTGGAGAAACAGGTTTATTAAAAAAAAAAGCAGAGTAAAGACCTGGAAATCAGATATTTAACCATTGAAAATACATTGTATTCTTCTCCTTCTTTACCTCTTGATCTTCTTTGCCATGCGCCTCTAGCTTTCTGAGTTAGGTGGATTCTAGATCTGCCTCTCTTTCTCTCTGAGAAAACAGAAAAATATAATCACCACACTGAATATGTTGGCACTTTTTAAAAACTGCACTTAAATGTAGCTTCCCCAAAACCAAGAATTAAATGGCTAATCTTAGGCTCATCTTATGTTTCATTTTCATATCCCTACATCAATAAAAAACTAATTGAAATCAGTATTTCACTTGTATCTCAGGAAGCAGTATGTTGAGTCTTAGTACATAACATTCATTCTACTATTTAATATTTTTATTCTACTAATTTGTTTAATTTTTGCAATAAATAAAGGTGATGATGATAAAGGTGAGATAAAGGTGATGACGATTAGAGAGAATATTAGAAAATATTCAAGAATATTGAGACGAAACTAAAAGTTTAAGTGAAGACATTGTAAGTTTCTCTTAGTGGAGAGAAAAGAACAAATCCAGTTCTGTGAGTACAGGAAAATCTTTTGAGGTGTTCCAGGTGAGATACTTGCTTGTATATCAACTTGAATGAAGGTATCTGAACATTTGTTCTGAAAGTGACCATAAAGGGAACCAAAGGCTTTGTTCACTGGGGTTTGGACAGAGATATTTGGATCTGAGAAACTAACCAGGAGAAGACTAGCCAAGAAAATTGAGTCTTCTGAAAATTGTTTCAAATAGTAATTATAGACTGACTTGGAAAGTGCTTCAGAAAGAATATACTTCCATTTACAAGTTAACTGACTGTGGATGGGAATCTCAATATTTTCCATCACTCAAATTGTGTTTTATCTGCTAAAGAAGCAATACAATTTTTTTTTTCTCCTTTCTTATATCCAAAGTTTACCACTCACGGACCACCATCTAGTGGTGCTAGTTGAAGTTATGCAGACCCCATGAGAAAAAACCCTCCTGACTATGCAGTCTTAAGTGCTGTCAACTCTCCCATGTTAGGCTGCAAAATTAAAAGGATCTTCATTTTATTCAAACCCAAAGTGTTCCTGGTACTTGGTAATATAATTCCACTTTCTGTTCTTCAGACTGAACAATTACTGTTATTTAAATCCATAATGGTCTGTGGGACAAATATTGGTAATTGGGCAACCTTATCCCAAGACCAAACAACTTTCATCCTTACAAACTATAACTCCATTAATATTTAATCAAAATACTGGGAGCTCAAACAAGAGTTCTAGGAGAGTTGGAAAAACTCATGGAAGAAAGTAGGGTATCAGCAGCCGAGGGCTAAGGAAAACTAATAAAATGATGGAAATGTAGTCCTCAGGGAGAATATTATCTGCTTGCTCTCTCTTGCTTCCTCTCTCTGGCCAGCACATTCACCAGTCTCTCCCAGGGGCTCTCCTCTCCCCTCTCACCCAAGACACCAGTAGGACTCTGGATAGCAAGGACATCTCTGGGTGTTCCTTCTACCCCCTCCTCCTCTGAGGGTCCACACTCAGAGCCCAATGAGAAGAGATTCAGACGTCTTATTCTTGCTTCTCTTTCTCCTCCTATATTCCAGCTAGGCTTGACATTACAGCTCTGACCACACCCTCAGACAGTCTGACAAAGACAGAGCTCTTTCTTGCTTTCTATCTATCTCTGTCTGGTTACATCTTTTCTGAGACCAGTAGCCATATTGTGTTTACCTTCATCAAACCTGTTTACGCCTAATACTTGTAGGAGAGAAAAAGCAAACATATTGAAGTCTACTCTAGCCCTTGGATCCTTTGGTATAAGGAGATTTGAAGCTTACATCCAGCTAGCCCATAATATGGCACTATTGTGTTTTCTCTCAAAACAGAGTGGCTGAGCTAGGCAAGATTCAACTTATTGTGCTCTTAGGTTAAAATAGCCATTTAATAATACTAAAATCTCATCACAAATTCTCTTAAATACAATATGGTCAGAATATAATTTTAAATTTTCATAAAATGATTGTTATGGATGGTATTGATTAAACTCTAGAATTAAGTGTGACACAGTTGTCAATTTCTTCCTTTTTTTCTCAAAACTTTAGTAGACATCCCAATAGTTGGGAACAATTCAATAAGTGCCAAGTAGGGTGACCCACTGTCCTTATCTGCCCAGGACTAAGAAAATGCCCAGGACACAGGAGTTTCAGGGGAAAAACTGGAAAATCCAGGCAGCCAGGGTGAGTTGGTCACTCTAGTTCCAAGCACCCATATCCCAAGAAAATGCACCAGGTCATCTGCACAGTGTTGGCAGAACTGGTTGTGCCAAGTCACGTCCAGGTGGCAGAAGAAAGGCTGCATTTCTTTTGAAAGAAGTCAATTGTGGTGCCTGATGCCTCCCGGTCCCTCAAAGGGGAGCTGATGAAAGCATCTTCACTCCATTTCCAATGTCATTCCATGGCTGTGCGTGTCAAGCAAAACCCTTCCTCACTCATCTCTCCTGTCCTCCTGCTCCCCAATCCTGGATGGGCCCAAGCCAGCAGCTATTGAATAGGGGTAGAGTTTAGAGAGAACAAGAGAAGATGGCGACCATGCCACCCCTGCTTTACAATCAAAGAGGAAGAAAGGTTAGACGGTGGGCAGATGAGAATATAAACACAAACAGTGTGCAACTCTGGTTCCAAGCGAGTTTGCTTTTGAGATTTCACTGCTCTCAAATCAACTAAGAAATTTGACTAGTAAAAAATGAAGGATTTAGATTCCTCGAAACTGTAGCAAAATCTGTACTGACCTGCAATGCGGAGGTAAGGTGCTACCACTTTCGTCCTACCCCTGATCCTGGCAGGGCCTGGCAGATTCATTGTCACTGCCTCTTTGCTGGAGGCCTTGTGGTCATTAGCTGTGCTGTTGCCTGTGGACAGACATGGGAAAGGGAGAGTTGGGCAGAACCACACGTGACAGGTGGGAACAAAAAGAAGCGAGGGTGTCCTGGGTTTGCTTTGGACCCTTTACTCCACACTCTCAGACAAGCAAGTGAATGCCAAGCAAAGTCCAGCAGGGGTCCAGGGCGTTTTCTCTCTTAGGAGGGTCCACTGTTAAAATGACACGCAAGATTTGTTGGTTGTTTTTTTTTTCTTTAATTTTTGGTACAAGGGATTGAACTCAGGGGCGCTCTACCACTGAGCCACACCCCATCCCTATTTTGTATTTTATTTAGAGGCAGGTCTCACTGAGTTGCTTAGCACCTCACTTTTGCTGACACTGGCTTTGAACTCATGATCCTCCTGCCTCCGCCTCCTGAGCTGCTGGGATTATAGGCATGCGCCACTGCACCTGGCAATGTGCAAGATCTAATCATGCTTTGGAAAGAAGTCTCCTAGAATTTGTCTACATGCACATAGACTTAAGTGAAATGTTATAATGGCTTAGTCCAAATAATTTATCATTTTGAAAATACCCATTTATAAAATGGATGCAACCATTTTTTTCTTTTCAAACAAAAATGTACATATCCACCTATAGGGGAGCCATATAATTGTCAAAAACATAAGATATATATAGTTTGGTGAAAATTTTAATCCTTAATAGGATTTTTAAAATCTACTATTTCAAAATTGACAGTCATTCGGAAAACAAGGGTTAGCCTTCATCGTCTAGGAGAAAGGAATTCCTTAGACCTTTTATAAAATAAGATCTGGGGGCTGGATATTGTGGCTCATGTCTGAAATACCAGAAACTTGGAGGCTGTAAGTTTAAGGCCAGTCTCAACAACTTAATGAGACCCTCAAGCAACTTAGTGAGAACTTGTCTCAAAAAAAAAAAAAAAAAAAAGTAAAAAGGGCTCAGTAGTAAAGAAGCACCCCTGCATTCAATCCGCTGTAACAAAAAACAATCCAACAAACAAAAAACCTTCAAAATAATAAGATTTTAGGGAACTGATTATAAATAATATATACATTAAAGAAATTTAGAAAATAAAATTGTATGAAACATTACTATGTAAAGATAGTCACAACTAACTTGTTCAAAAATATTCTCTTTGCATGTACTACTTTTTAAAATTTTTAAAAATATTTATTTTTTAGTTGTAGTTGGACACAATACCTTTATTTTGTTTATTTATTTTTATGCGGTACTGAGGATCAAACCCAGGGCCTCACTCATGCTAGGCGAGCACTCTATTGCTGAGCCACTACTTTTTAAATAACGTTTTTGCATTACAAAAGCTGAACATGTTAAATATTTTAATATACACACATACATTTTAAAACTAGAAATAAAAATATAAATACCTTTATTCCATTGACCAAGTGTAACCAATGCATATAGTTTTATGGTTGAACTACCACTGATTTTTCTATATGTCCACATCTATGTCCCTATATACAGATAAATATATATGTACAGATCTGAATTTATAGACATTTAAATACATACTTTCATAAATATACATGTTTACATACATGTATTTTTTATAATGCCCATACATGCCCACATGCATATGCATACATAGACAACCTGCTTTGTTCATTTACGCTTCTTTGGGACATCTTTCCAAGTAATAAGAATTTCTCAAACTAGGAAATAAAGCCACATACTGAGAATGGCAACACTTCCCTATATTAACTGTGGATCATTTACTGCTGGATGAGTCAGTAACATGTATGAGAAATAAACCATTTTGTAAAAGCCATTGTATTTGGGGACCTCTTTGTTACAGCATCTTAGCCTACCCAATACAGTAGCTATGAAACCACTATGGCCCTCGGGAGGTTGCCCGCCTCCAAGCATACAATGAGCAGTGCCTTAATAAACTCATAGGATGCCCCTACTTCACTTTGCCTGCTTACCTTTTTGAAGTATGTTTTGTGGCCTTTTCCTTCTTATTCTTGATCAGTTATGTCCTTTCTTTTTTCCTTCAAAAAATAATGAAGTGAGTCATTCAGGGCTATAAATCGAAGTCTCCAAGCCTTATAGGTCAGTAGTATTCAAGAACTGTTTGCAATGGGGAAAATCTCTCAACACCCAATATAGCAAAGTGGAAGTTGATTAGAGAGTAAAATTTTAATCCTGCCTTTGCATTGGCTCCCAAGCTTGGGAGACTGTCAGAGACCACATTTCTTTGAAAATTCAAAGAGGAGGAAATAAACTCCTGCTTTCTAACTAGATGACAACTGTCACTGTTATTTATTAGTGTTTCCCTTTTAAGCGTTTTTCATGTAAATTCAAATGTGCAAGGAGAAGGCACATTTCTTGAGTCTGACAATGTGATGGGTAGTAGACTGTCCTGGAAGTTGGGGTAAGTTCTCAACTGGGATGTGGAGAGTCTTTGTTAAATAATCTCTATACTCTTGCAGTTGCAATGCAAATCCTCTCACATATTTAATCGAGCTCCCAAAGAGCCTGGAGCACTTTAAGGAACCACAGTGGGTTCTTTGTTTTGCTGTTGTGGCTTTCCTTTGAATGATTTGAATGCACAGGAATGAATGCATAAGACCACAGGCACTGAGCGAATGGAGACTGTATAGAATTATTGGCAACTATAGTGACAGCCACCTTCTAGAGTTTCATTTGCTAGAAGTGAAAGCATGACTGGAGGAGAGAGGCCTTGACTGCCCCACCTGAGAAGCCCATTTTGGGTGGGTCAACTCAGGCTCCAGAACTGACAAGGAAGGTTGGTTCAAAAACACCTTGCTCTTCAACTGGAAACGGTATTGTCAAGAACACAGGGACTTTGCCTAGTGGCACCTCTGCTTCAAGCCTGTAGCAAGCCTCTGGGTTGGTGGGGGCCTCGGCTCATTGAGATTCCCCTGAGGCCTGGGCCTGGTTCACTCATGCTTGGTGAGGCTGGGCTGCTATGGCTGTTCAGCCTCAGAGACAGCTATGCAGAGCCAAGAGTGGACGTGGTCACTCCTCCTGGTTGGCAGAACTTAGACAATTGGGTTTTGCTTCAATGGCTTACGTATTTGGTCTACCACATGGGAAACCATAGGAGTGGCAGATTAAGGGCACACTTCTCTGGGGCCATGAACTGTGGAAACAGTCTCTGGTTGCCGAAAGGCCTGGTGGGTGGGTCTCTCATGGAAGTGCCAAGTAGTGCCTGGTCTCTGCTGTTGGCAGCTGATGCTGTTTCTCACATGGAGGCTCCTGCTGCCTACTAGCTTTGCGACTCCTGCTGAATTGTCCCTCTAGGGGGAAACCAAGGTGCTTTGATTGCTCCTGGTACATGGATCAGACCTTCGAGCCCCTCTTAGGGCTGTTGGCAGTACCTCAACACCCACCCCTCAGGTTGCAGGTCAGCTGACTTGGGCCACGCCCTTGCAACCATGGAAACTCACCAGTGTCATGCCTGGCGATGAGGACCATCTGCAGCCTGATAGGGACGTGCCCTTTACCAAACAGGTATGCAACAGTGTGCTCACTGCCTGACTCTGTGTCCCTCCTCTCCTCTTGTCCACATACCTTGCAGGGCAGTTTGCTCTCGAAAGGTAGCAGTGCAGAGAGGGACCACTGCCTTCCTGGATAATGACCAGGACAAAAGTGAGGGATGGAGTCCTTATAGGTGATATACGAGCCTCTCTTGAAAATTTAGGCCTCTGTTCTGACCATTGCTCATTCTTTCCTCCATAACTTAGTGTATACAGCTTTCAGAGTGCCCAGGGGAGTCTGGTTTAATTCCAGTTACATTGTCTAAAAATGCTTTTGCCCTGCTTGTATCAGACCCTTGTGGATGGAAGGTCTTGGTGAGAAAAGGAGATGATTAGAAAAAAAGATGTAGCTACAGCCACTGGAATGGCACATACAGCTTGTGCGGCAGCAAAGTGAGAGCAAGACTCCAAGCATCAGAGAAGGAACGTCTCAACCCCTAGAAGGTAGGCAGGAAAGAGGAGCACTGATAATGTCTGCCTTTCAGAGCTGCCACTAGGTCCCTTGTCCATAGGAAAACACCCTGGTGCGGCTCTCTCACCACTGGGGATGCAGAGATGAATGCCACCTATTGCCATCGTGGACGAAGGGTGGATTGGACACACTGTCCTCAGTCAGTATCCTCCCAAGTCAATGAGCTGAACAGGAAACCGAGGCTTACAGCTGTCCAGAGGCCATGCTAGAGGCACTGTCCACCTCCCCTCTGCCTAACATGGAGGAGGAGCTCAGTACTTGCAAACACTTCTTTTCCAGGGGACCATGTGTGCCCTGGGCCTTGGACTTCTTGTGTGAAAGCCAGGCTATTAACCTGCCCCCTCATGCCAACAGGGCCACTTGTACTTTAGAGGTGGTTGTCAGAGACCTAAAGCAGTTGTGGTTTATGACATTTATTAAATACTGTGGGAAACAAATCCAATTTGCTCTGAGTCGCATTTTAAGGCTGGGAGTTTCCTATGCATTGTGTCCCTCAGCTGCCACAGCCCTGGGTGTGCGTCACCTGCTCAGGCCTCCTCTATAGCATGACCTTCACGGATCTGGGACGCACACCCAGGGGGAGAGCTGATACATCTATCCTGCGGCAGAACATTTCACGCCTATGTATTTATGCAAGAGGTAGGAAAGCGCCTGGCCCTAGACAGACTTCTACAGGACATTCATGGAGGCTTTCTCATTATAGCTCAAACTGGAGACTTGGAGGCATCCGAAGATTGGAGACTGTATAGACAATGGTGAATCTAGACAATGCACACCACTCAGCAATAAAAAGAAACTACTGCCACACTCACAATGTGGATGAACCTCAAAAGCTTTATGCAGAGTGAAGGGATGCTTATGCGAATGAGAACATGCTGTGAACCTTAATTATATAAAAAGTTTTAAAACAACCCAAATTAAGTTATCATGAAAAAAAAATAAAGAGTAGCAGTTGCTCTCTAGGCATGAGGCAGAAAGGGCACAGGGAATCTCCCCAGGGTGATGTCATTTTCTGCATCTTGAGGATTTCGATTGTACAGAATGATACAATTACCAGGATGCATCAGATGGTAAACTTGATAATTATGTTTTATTATAAATTGTTTAAAAAGGATTGCAAAAAATATTTGAACTCCAGGTAATGATATGTGTGTTGAAGTGTGTGCAGGGAGGTGTACTGATTTCTGCAACTTTGAGGAGTTAACAAATGGACAGAGAAACGGATGGATAGAAATGTGGTAAAGCCATAATGCAGGAATAATACAATAGCATCTGTGAATGCACGTGAATGGACATTCGTGTTCACCGAAATATTCTCCCAGGTTCTCTGGATGTTTAAAAATTTCATGATTCAATGTTCATGGAAAATGTATTTGGAGAGAAAGAACAAATTACTTGCCAAGAATGAATAGTTACAATAAAAAGTACTTTCATCAGTCACACACTGAGTCCTGAAGGCGATGTGGTGATCACTTTACTGCACTGAGAAATACATGTCAACATCAAATTGTCAACTTAGATTTTAAAAACCTATAAAAATAAAGATAATTTGCACATACAGGATTTGGAAAAAACTTACTACTTAGAGATCACTTGCTAAAATACCTGAAGGATTTACTTCAGCTAGATAAAGAGTGGAGCCAAAGAAAAAAATAATTATTGAGTACATAAAATAATTTTAAAAATTTGATCTAAGTAAATATCAACCACAAAAGAATGTTTCCAAATTCATAAATAAAAGACAAAATATTAAATAACAACAGTTAAGTGGTAGAGGTAGAATGTTCAATTTCTAGTGAAACCACGGTAAGATATTTGCCATCTTCTAGGATTGGCACATGGTTGAAAAATTACAGAAATTTTATCTCTAATTTCCAAATAGCAGGGGGCTGGGGGGAGGGGAGGGGAAGGAATATATAATTTTTTTATCCATCTGTCAGAAAACAGGAAACACACACACACACACACACACACAGAGAGAGAGAAAGAATGGTCAGCAAGAGTATAGAGGGTATGGATCCATATGAGTCAGGAATCAAAATAAGTGTAAACAAAAGAAACTTTATTAAAAGTCTATGATGATCATATACAATTACAAGAGCTGAGTGTTGTTATAAGGGACACAAAACAAAGCTGCACTTGAGAGGTTAACACAAAGGGAGTAAGAAGCACAAAAAACCCCAAAAGTTTGTGGAACAATTGTCAGCACTCCACAAAAGAGATGTTAAGCATCAGTTAAGATAACATGGCACATGGTTAATTGTAAAAGAAAAAAAATTCACTTAAAAGTTATAATGTCATGAAAAGCCTCAAAGTACTTAAAGTAAACCAACAGAATAAGCAGGAATTGGAAAACACACAAACCTCGTGGGCAAACTTAACATATCTATATGAATCTAGTGGAAGAAATAGAACCTAACTTACCATGGAAAAAGATTTAAACAAGATGGCACTTGAAGAGGAGAGGCATATGAAGAAAAGCCACAGCTCAACATACAGCTCAGTTGGGTATTATTTTCAAGTGGCATAGAACATTTGTAAGTATTGACCACACATTAGAATGCAAAGGAACATTCAACAATCTTAAAGAATCCATGATCAAGTCTTTATATTGGCTTTCAGATATCCATTTCCCATTCCTAATTAACTGACAGAACCCCTTCAGTATTGGAAAGATAGATGTTTCCAGAGAAGACTCCACAGCTCGTAGCCTCTCTTGCAGATGGTATGGCTACCAGCTTAAATCTGGCCATAAGACCATAGCAAAATATCACTGTGGAAGGAGGGAAAACTTGGGGACACTTCTGAAAAAAGGAATAAATCTCTGAGGAAGATAGTTTTTGCTCTCCATCCTCTCCTCTCCATCTAGTGGCTAGAATATGTATTATAGCTGAAGCTCAGCAGGCACCTTCAACAAGGATGTGATCTCAAGAGGGCTAAACTGAAAGGTAGAAGAAGCTTCAAAATGCACAGGGCTGAAAATATCCAAAACGATTTTGAAAAAAAAAAAAATCAG